TGCAGTCCCAACATGAACTTGTAAATCCTGGAGTTAGCTCCCTCCATATGAAATGAAGGTTTAACCTTCCATGTATAAATTTCTAGGTTATAGCAACCAGTGCTTTAAATGGGTTCTAGATTGCTTATATGATCTGAACCACATTAAAAGAAAATATTTTTAAGTGGAACAAGGAGATAAGTGATATTCTCGGAGTGTATTTTTTCATTATCTAGGTTTTATAGATCTATTTTCTTTTAGCTCAAGTTTAAGTTATGTAAGAAACCCTTGATTTTTATGGCAATAGTTCTTAAGAAAAACCCCTTACACCAAAGCCTCGATCATCAGAGGGAGGGAACACAAGGATGGACTTATAAACTTTGACTTGGAAAGCCCAGAGGCATGTAAATAAAATTCCTAGAATGTCAACAGCAGTGGTTTGAAAATAAAGACTAGAAAAATAGGCAGCTAGCTGGTTAGAAGTATATGTAACTAACAAGCATGTTTGAAAGGGATGCCTTGGATATTTTGATAGTGCATTTTGATTACTAAGAATGTAAAATATCCAGAACCTTGAAACTATGAAGAAATTCATAATGTTCTCCTCCCAGAAAAAAATGCAATTTTTTCATATTCTTTACATATTCGAAGTAACTAAAGGATTTCATTAAAGTACATTTTCCTATACCAATTATATACTTGAAAGTAATTTAAATAATTAATAAAACCAAGATTTCTTTAAAGAATCTACAATCAATTATTTTAGTCCACACAATATTCAAAAAGTGCAATTATGTTTATTTAACTTAATCATCACCATTGTGTCAAAATATGCCTTTGTTTTTGACAAAAACACAAATTTATTAACATACTGCTTAACAAAATATTTCACTGCTAGTAGATTCTACATTCATCTTTTTTATGTTGGACTCCTGTTCCATTATTTTCAAGACTTAAACAAACTTCTCTATCCTTTACTGTGTTATCTTTTATGGGATTTGGGAATAACTTCAATATAGTTACTTGTCTGTCTGTCTCCCCAGAGGCTTACAAAAAATTACAGACACCTTAGTGTATGCTATGGAGAAATTCTAATGGGGCTGAGGAAAAGACAGGATGGAGGCTGGGAACATTTGCTTTATAATCCAGTCAGATGCAGTGTCTCCCTTGCTGGGCCCCAAATAGGTATGAGGAAGAGTGTGTGTTAAATCATTCATTGAATGAATGAACATTCCCTCTGCCATGTAATCCAAGAATCTGCAGCAGAACAATGTATTACATTAAATTATATAAAACTAAGATGCCTTCTTCTACCCTGTCCTTCCTGCCAGAATATTCCTTGTGATCCATTCTGTATATCTTCCTGAAGATACCAATGTATTTTCAGCATCCTTTGGCTATATCTGCCTTCCCAGTGTCATTAGAAGACTGGATACAAAAATCCACATTTTGTTGCAAGAATATGTCATTTCTCACTTTTATCTCCTGTTCAGCATTCATGGCACTTCAATGATTCTCATTTCTATCTTTCCTCTGGTCTGATATATTTATAAGTGACAATATATGCTCTGAATCTTTTTAATGAATGTGCGTTTATGATATATGTGTGTGCATGTTTGTGTATGTGAGTGCAGGCATGCTTGTACTATGATGCATGTGTGCAAGTCAGAGGAAAAGCTTAGGTGTCAGTTTTAGCATTTCACCATGTTGGGGATGAGGGTCTCTTGTTATCCTGGTGTAAAGTAGTTGGTCTGGCTGGCAGACTTCTAAGGATTCTCCCATCTCTCCCTTCCATCTTACCATAGGAGTGCTGCAATTACAGATGTGTGCTTCTGTGCTCAGCTTCACGTGGTTTGTTGGGATCCAAAACTCAGATCATCATGCTGACACTGCAAGTGGCTTTATCCACTGTGCTTTCTCTCAGCCGAACATTTCCAGTTCTGACATTTGACACTCACAAGATGCTTTCTGTTTGCAAACTGTATCAGCATTTCTCAGATAGATTTCTCTGTCTACCTACCCTACTGCAAAGGTCATTCATGTATCACTTAACAGTAGGTTTGCATTTCTGAGAAGCGCATCATTCAACCCTGTCACTACTGTGAAACATCATAGAGAAGTCATACAAACTAAATGGCTATAGTTGATAGACCAACATAATATGATGTGGCCATGATCATATATGCCATATGTGTTTGACCAAATGTCAGTATTTGGTACATTTAATTTGCATTTAACAGATTCTATTACCAACTTATATAAATAAAATGTGTTCAAAGAGTGCCTACTGATTGAGCAGTAGTCCTGGTGGATCTTAAAAAGCCACCAGCCTTTACATAAACTCTGGAATATGCTTTAAATATGTTGTAAAAGTGTACTCTTCATTTAGGAGTTTCTATGTTTCCTTTATTGGTAAATCATTCTTCAAATAATGATTGAGAATCTTTGGCTTATAATAGAATTCTAAAAGTTTTTATTGTTTTATTTTGTGTGCAGAGGTATTTTGCTTGCATGTATGTGTGTGTGCTGTGTGCATGTTGGGTGCCGGCCAAGGCCAGAAGAGGTCATCAGATACCCTGAGACTGGAGCTACAGACTGTTGTGAGCCACCATATGGGTTTCAGGTATTGAACCCAGATCCTGTGGAAGAGCAACAAGTACTCTTGAGCACTTAACAGTCTCTCCAGCCCCATACACAGGAACTTGATAACAACTTCTGTTGATAGTGATTGATTGGGTACTTTATAAATTCATTTGCTCCCATATATTTGGTTTGATGCTTTTTTACAAATCACATTTTCCCTTTGCAAAACATCCCAGGACAGTACTTCTTTGTAGAAATCACAAATATCATCATCTTACAGCAGGGGAGAGGCAAAGATAGATAAAATATGATAGCCAATTTTTATATAAATATATGAAAAAGTCTATCCAGTATTAAAATGACCATTAATATCCTTCTCAGAGCTGTGGTTAAGCTGTTCTTTAGTCCAATACATAGCACATTCCTGCTAAAATAAACTGTGGACTGATGGTGGATATCCTTCTGTCTCCAACCACAAACCAAGAGAGAATGAGCCAATCCCTTCTCTTCCTTATAAGGGATCATATCCACATACTTGAAGCTACACCCTAAGGTATGTCCATCATCCCAAGTCCTCTGGGGAAACATGATGCCGCTACAGCAAGTTTCTGCTTCAAGGTGGAAAATAGGTAGACTTTCACTAAGATTAAATAATTAGGACTGAAAATATGTTCATGTCTGCAAAGTCTAAGATCACATGTACTTAGCTGTCTTTCTACTTGTTTGTGTCACAATGTTAGAAGACCAGGAGGAACGTTATAGCTTTCTGCCACCTTTGTCATCTAAATGCTGCTTCATCTATACCCTACTCTCCTGAGTGTTTGGTAGCTTGGCATTATGGTCCTTGTTTCTAAGCTGACTTGAAACAGTCAACAGCTAATACCGGTGCTGTTTAGTTAAAAGGATCCAAAGGGAGGAAAAGTGTGTATAAAGAGTGGAGTTGGTGTCTCTGCATTCTCTGGGGCAAATGATAGGTGCTACCTGAGACAAATGTGGTTCCTGTTTACAGTGGAAGCCATGTTCTGCTTTTCCAGTGTACCAACACAGTGTGGTATCTCAACAGCTCTGTGAGTTTCTACAAACCATATCTAGTGTTAGTCCAGCAAGCATACTTATTTATAATCAAAAATTTCAATTTAAATGCACAAACACATAAATATTCACTTTTCAAGTTTAATATGTAATTTTCTATGTGAAAATATCAAGAAAAATATTTTATAGGAAGTTCTAGGTATGTATATCTCAAGCTTATACTATCATTTTATTGTTTTATTTTTGTAATTATTAGATGCTCTGCATTCCATTATGATTATATATTTCCAAAAGTCCTGGGAGGATTATTTACCCATTTTTAAAGTCAGCCTGAAAGACTCAGCAAATCCTGCATGTATTCATGGTAAAATAAGTATTATCTTTATTGGAATAAATCCTACACACACACACACACACACACACACACACACACACACAATGAAGAACTGTGTACTTCCTTCTGGGATTCCTGTGGATAAACTCTAAGTGGGAAAGGGAGCTATCAGAGTTGCCCCAATAGTCCCAATCCAGAATATTCCTCAAAGTAGTGGGAAGTTTCCATCTCTTTCTGGGTATAAATTCCTATAGCACTCAGGTATGCTTGCAGACAGGAAAAGCAAATGACTAAAATCATCACTAGAACCACATCTGTGCTAAACAATCTGTGTTTACCCCCTTGGGGCCAGGATAGGAGAGTGAAGAAAAGTGAAACAGGTAAAGACTCCTGTTGTAAAGTCATCTGTTCCCCTCCACTAAAGGAAGGGTGAATTTAGCATATGCTTCAGGGCCCTACTGCATAGTACTCAACATGGCACTCTCAAACATCTTCTTCAAGATGAATGGAGCTATGCAGGCAAGAGAGAGATTACAGAGCCTTCATAGCTTCTTAAACATCAGATTTCTGAGCCTCCTCCCTGCTCCAAAGTAAGCTGTTTGCCTCTCTAAGAAAAATACTGGCATCAGAGCTAATTCTCTGAGGGCATGTGATGGTGTGGGTTGGTATTGTGACAAGTTGGAGGCAGTTTTGAGATCCATAATTGAGTTTATGCTTCAACTTTCCCATACAGACTTACTGTTCCTTGTTCCTGAATATGCGAAGGGCTTAAATCTTTAGAACTATAGTGACAGGTGGAAATGACTGAGCCGTAATTTAGCCAGGGCTGAGCCACTGTAATGTAAAGCCTGGGCCTAACAAATGAGTATTGCAGTTTGCTTACCCTGTTGGGGAGCATGAAGGTGAGGAGCTTTTAGAGAAGGGTGGGGCTTGCTGCCTGTGCCTCTGAAGAAGTCCAGGAGTGAGGGCCATGGGGAAGTTTAACCATTGCCCCATGGGTATCTTTTCCTTCCAGCTCAAGGTTCTATAAAAAGCCCTCATTCTTAACACGTTGTTCTCTGTCCTTTGCCAGATTCTGACTTGAGCATGCGTACATTGAGCACACCCAGCCCAGCCTTGATATGTCCACCGACGTTGCCAGGATTTCAGAATGGAAGGGGCTCCTCCACTTCTTCATCCTCCATCACCGGAGAGACAGTGGCCATGGTTCACTCCCCACCCCCGACCCGCCTCACTCACCCACTCATCAGGTTGGCCTCCAGACCCCAGAAAGAGCAAGCCAGCATAGACCGGCTCCCAGACCACTCCATGGTGCAGATCTTCTCCTTCCTGCCAACCAACCAGCTGTGCCGCTGTGCACGTGTGTGCCGCCGCTGGTACAACCTGGCCTGGGACCCGCGCCTCTGGAGGACTATCCGCCTCACCGGCGAGACCATCAATGTGGACCGTGCCCTGAAAGTGCTGACCCGTAGGCTTTGCCAGGACACCCCCAATGTGTGTCTCATGCTAGAGACTGTCATTGTCAGTGGCTGCCGGAGGCTCACAGACCGAGGGCTCTACACCATTGCACAGTGCTGCCCAGAACTTAGGCGCCTGGAAGTCTCAGGATGTTACAATATCTCCAACGAAGCTGTCTTTGATGTGGTGTCCCTCTGCCCCAACCTGGAACATCTGGATGTGTCAGGTAAATGGAAACTGATCTTAAAACCTGTGTTCTTAATGCACCATACCAGAATAGTAGAGACACTGACATTGTTACCTGTACAGAGTCCCCTTCTCTTACTGATACTTATTTATTTTAAATTACATGATTTTGTTTATCTGTGTGTAGGTATGTGCCTATGAGTGCAGGTGCCCACAGAGTCCGCAAGAGAGCATTACATCTTCTGGAGTTGAGTTAACCCGTCAGTTGAGGGCTAACCATCATGGGTCCTGGAAACTAAACGCAGGTCCTCTGGAAGTGTGTGCTCTTAACTACTGAGTCATCTCTCCAGCTCACAATGTCTCCTTGCTAGCTACCAGAGATGAATGGTGTGCAAGTAGGGAGGCTAACTGATCTGAAATTGTCTCACCTCGGGATCCTTACACGGAAGGCCAGATTAGCCCCTGCATTGACCATCTCCCTTTTAAGGAACAGTAGGCACCTTGGTCCTGATAAGGTGGGTCAATTTACCTTAAATGTGACCTTATATTCCAGAACAACCATGCAAAATGTAAATAAACAAAAAAATCTAGCTAAGACAAATAGAAGGGAATATCTAATTAAACAGGTCATCCCGAAACTAGGCTTTTGTATTTGTTATGAGTTAGTTGAGTCTGTGTGCCATGGTAAAGCCACCTAGATGCCCCTGCATACTACATCCTACCCTGACAGTCCTCCATGGGGAATCAAATGCTTGCTTAGGAGCTGTGCTCATGATGGCTTTTCCTCTAAACATTGAGGGGGTCTGTCTTGGTCAAGTGATGCCCCCACCCCCATTCTTTTGCTTTAATTTTACAGCCCTTTAAAACATTTTTCAGTTACATAGTACAAGGACAGGGTGCATTGAATCCACCTTTTCATTTTCTTGAAAATAGAAGGAAATCCCAGTATAATTGCTTTGCTTAAAAAGTCTCTCTTAGCCAGGAAGAATTAAAGCCCAGAGTCAAACTTTGGCGCCAGACGGGGACCCAGCCTGAATAAAACCACCCCCCTCTTTTTTTTATCTCATCTGCTGTACAGTCAAAAGATGAACATTTCAGAGGCTGAAATGTGTAAGATTTTTTAAAAAAAAAATGAGACGCATGAGCTGTGACCTTAGGAATGGTTGGGGAAGGGTCAAAAGGTGAAACCCACTGTGTCAGGCAAATAAATAGAGTTTGGGATTTACAAGAATCTGAGGTAAATGAAGCCCTTCAAAAAAACTGGAGGTAAAACAGCTTCCAGCTTGTTCTGTCTTTCAGAAGCCGACATCTGAAAATGTTTCCACTGACAGCCCATTAGTTTTGCAGATTCTTTCCCTGGCTGGAAAGCTGCTTACTACTCCCGCTCGAGCTGGCTTCAGGACAAAGCCATCCTTACTGTGTGTTAGATTAGTCATGAGCCACCATTGGCATACAGAAGCGGGAAACAAGGAGGCCTTCTTAAATTCTTCCTCCAAGGAACTTTGGAAAACATGGAGAACTGAGATTTGGGGCAATTCACTCATTGCTTAGAGCTACAACTTGAGGTGTTTTCTCTTTAGCTAAGAAACAAAACTGACAAACTGTTTACCATTATTGTCATCTGAACATTTTACAAACAATTTTTGTATTCTCTCTAATTAGAAAATGAGTTGGTTAGCATTCCCAAGTTTATCAGAGAGTGTTCCCAGGTGTTCTTCATATAGAATGCAAGTTAATTATGTTGTCTTATTTGCAGTCCTTTTGAAATGCTGAAATGGCTGAAGCCATTTTGGTTGTTTTGGAAGGGTATTGTTGAGCTTTCTGGCCCGAGTAAGCTTACTGTACCACTTGACTAACTGTTACTAAGTCTTGCTAGCTGTCCTCAACTTCAATGTCATTTTTATGCTTATAAATAGTTATATAGCTTGCTGGCAGATTGCCAATAACACCACAGATCTGTACTTCCAGGCAGTAGAGCGAGAGGAGTCTATGCCTCACCAACTTAGGATGGAATTTCACATATGGTGGGTAGAGGTGGACTTGAAAGGTTTAGCAGGTTTGCCCTCAGCACTTATTAAAAGTCTCTTCCATTTCTGGGGGATTTTGGAAATGGTTATGTCAAAACAGAGAGGCCAAAAGGCCGCCAATGTTGTTTTCATTATTCATTACCTAACTCTCTTGGTTTTAAGCTGGCTTCAGATACTGGCTAACTTTTCAATGACAGTAAACTTGAATATAGAAGGATTGCTTTCTGTTCTAGAATTCCTGTAGGTCAGAATTTCTCAACCTGTGAGTTGACACCCCCACAGGGGTCACATGTCAGTTATTTTCTATGCAATTAATACCAGTATCAAAATTACATTTATGAGGTAGCAACAAAATAATGTTATGGTTGGGGGTCACCACAACATGAGCAACTGTATAAGGGACTACAGCATTAGGAACGTTGAGCACCACTGCTCTAGATGGCATGAGATTGATTACCTGTCCCATATTTAGCAAGGCATAAAAGGCTAATGTTAAATATTTCATTTCCAAATCAATGGCAATTCCCATAGCTAGGTATAGTATCTTAGCATTATCATAAATTACCTTTATTAGCATTTTAACATAATTGGGATATATTAAAGCCAACTAACTTTGAAAATTAAAATGTAATTGCTATAAGTAGAGTCACTTCAAAGGGAATCTCTCCAAAAAGACATCTGAGAATTACCCATTTTTTTTTCACTAATCTTTTTTTGTCTAATCATGGCATCCTATCCAGGCCATCCTAACTTCCTAGCAGCTCCTGAAATTCAATCCCTCTTCTCTACCTGCCTGCCTACAGGAACATATCATCAACATCTCTTTTCAACAGTTCAATCCATATTCTGCATATTCAACTTCTGAAGGAAACTTTTTCAAGTTGTAAGCCTTTTGTTTTGTACATAAAACCTCCAACTGTTCTCCACTTAAGACTTACACCAAAGATTCATGTTTCTCCATAGCTCATGTAAGGCCCTGAATGAGTTGACCTTCCAAGATTCAAATTCCAATTCTTCTACAACAATATCTGCAGATTTTCAGACACAAAATACCTGTGCATTCAGTAATAGGTGTCTGCCTATATGGGTTCCATATAGGCAGTCCCTTTTCTGCTCCTATCCCAAACCTTTCCAGAAATTCTCTTAAGAGATTTGTCATTTCTCTGGTGGAATCTCACAGCCTTCCACAACTTATGTCTAGTGAGCCAAGGATTTCCTCTCCTTGTCTGCATTTTGAACACAGGCAACTAAAACATCATTGAATTTACTTTCTGGTACTTACATGTTTTCAGGTCCCTTCCTCTCAAGACATTAGCTTTTTATGGACAGAAACAAGGGATTTTTATTTTGCATTTCGGGATCTTGTAATTAAGTGGAAATAGAAGTACCAAAGCCTGAAATGGTCATCTTGAAACAGCTCAAGTTTCCATTGGTTAATACACCAAGCAGCATTATTGAAGCTGTGAAATGACAATGAAAAATCTCCTCATAACTACAATTAGGGTAACTGAGGCATCCCTGAGTTCATTGTGTTTGCTGAGAAATGTGTAACACTCAATAAACAGCAACAATTGCTGTTTTATTTTCATATTTTTTATCAATAATCTTAGAAGGTAGTCATTGATCTTCACTGATTGGACTACCTTGCATTCTAGAGAAAGTGGAGTTTCTCCCCACCACAAATGAGAGTAAATCATGATGCAGAGAAAATTTGGGAGAGCTGTAATTAATACGTGATTAACCATTGTTGTTTATATTGGTGAAATAATGTTCACCCCACATCCCCTTTTTAAAATTTATTTATTCTTGTAAATTTCATTTTACATTCCAACCACAGTTCTCCCCCACCCCTGCCTACCTCCCAGCCCACCCCCAGTCCATTCCTCCTCACGGGTAAGGGCTCCCATGAGGAGTCAACAAAGTCTGGCACAATAGATAGGGACAAGGCCAAGCCCCCTCCCAAGAATTAAGGCTGACCATGGCATCCCACCAGAGGAAATGGAGCTCTGGGAATCCAGTCAAAGAGCAGGAGGAGGGACTATATGAGCAAGGGAGGGCAAGATCATGATGGAGAAATCTACAGAGACAGCTGAACCCAGCTCATGGAAACTCATGAACTCTAGACAGACAGCTGTAGAGCATCCATGGGAACAAACTAGGCCAGCCATATGTGGAAGACAGTTGGGAAGCTTGAACTATCTGTGGTGCTCCAGGCAGTAGGACCACATTACAAACCTGGTACATGACCTAACTTATTGCAGCATCCATCGCCCTTTATCTTAGACTTTAAGGCAGCCAACCATTCCTTATTTTCTGTTAAATCTTTCCAGAAACCACAAGATCAACCTTATGAACATCGCCTCCAAATACTGAGTTTGTTTGAATATTGGTACTTCATTCTATGAATATAGGTTGTTTCTCTTTGATTATCTCCTTAAATATAGTCACTTCAAGAAAAGAAAAAAAAAACCACCTCATTTACAAGTGTCTGCAGGTTTGCCTCATGATGGCTTATCTACTGCAACTCCCTCTGAAGCCCACAGTTCTGCCACATCGAAACATTTCTTACCTCTGTCTTGTCAGTGAAGTCTTGAACAAATTTGAGACTTGCTCTAGTCTGTGTGTAGAAGGCACATTGAGGCGCATGCCTCATCTTTTAAAATTGACGTTTAAATGAATGATTTCTAAGGACCCCTTCATATCTGTAAAGTAGGAATGCATGAAATATCCATTAGTGTTACTGAGCCATGAAAAAATTTATTTTCTTTTCAATACAAACTCAAAAATTCCATAAGAATTAGAGATAGTCATAACATTAAAAATTATTGATAGAAAGTCATACATGCACATCAAAATAATTTACTGCAACTAGGCCAAACTAATATTCTCTTAAATTTGAAACTCTTCTTTTTAAATTTGTCTGAATATTGTGTCTTTCCTGGTGCACTACAGATTTTGCTAGATATTAAGAATGTAGAAAAGAAACTAGAACCAAAATAGAGGAATAAAATTTATTACATAACAGAAGAAAAAAGAATACCTGTGCAGACAGGAAGAAAATTTTGAGATATGCAGGATTGTAGTCATCTGAAAGAATCCCCTCCCCCAAAAAAGGGAATGGGATGATCTCAAAGTTTGTTTTCTATGGTTTTTGCTTCACACCTTAAAATTCTTGCCTTGGAGCACATGACATTTGAACCCCATTCATTATTCTGAGGACCAATGCTTTATCTGAGTTTCCTGGGCAGCCTGCTAGGAGGTGGAAGGACAGGTCCCAATAGTGTTGTTATTGTGCCACTCACAAGCCTTAGATATTGCCTTGAAGAGTCAAAATTTGGGAGCGTCTGAAGTGACATGCCTGGTAGTACACTTGCAACAGGGATCTGATAAGAGTAAGGAGAAAATGAAAAGAAAAAATATGTAGTAGAATGGGATAGACTCTAAATACATATTTATATGGCTTATATTAATATTAATGGGTATTGACTATATAATAGAAGTTGGATTTACATGCTTTTGTAAAGTAATATTTAATGAGTATTTGATTATTATATGCAATATACCAATAATTAAATTGTACAATACAAATATATATGTAATTTTACTCAATTTTAGGAAATTAAGAATGATGTGTAGGAGTTACCCAAAAATATCCTGTTCTTTAAAAGTATTAAGAATCAGATGAAAAATATTCACCACAGTCCTTTGTAAACTTCATAATTCAACACAAATAAAAGGCGTTTCTATTAACTATAAAACAAACATCTGTTTTTACTGCATATATTCTTGAACTAAGGCCAAAGTCTGAAGACATGTAAATGTTAGAAGTTCAATTCTCCCACCTGAGCTATTATGGAGATGTTCCCCTTTAAATCATTTCTTCCTGCCTTCATTCATTCATTCACCTCACACTTATTCGATGCCAGCTATAAAGAAAATACAAAAGGTTTGGTGATCAACTTGCCTAAGTTCTTCCCCCTTCCCCTCAGGATCTTGCACTCCAGAGTAAGCAGACAGCAAATAAATACTAAGCAGATAAACATGTGAAATTATTAACTGATAAAAGTGCTTAACATAAAGGGGACAGTCAGGGATGCTAGTTTATGCATGGGGCAGTCCATAAAAGCAATTGCCCACCAAACTAACATTGTCTTGTGGACCTAAGCAAGTTGAAGGTGTATCCTGGAGCTGTCTCAGTAAGATCCTTCTATAATACAGGCAACAAGGCAGGGGCAGGGGTGATGTCTGGGAAATGGCAAGGTCACAGTTAACACTTGTTAAGAACACAGGGAAGCTTGAACTATTAGACTAAGTATAAAATGGACCATCTAAAGACTCTGAGCAAAGATGATTTGAGTGCCATTTCTAGGCTTCCAATTACAGCTGTATAGAAATCCTGAAGGGGATAAGGGCAAGGCAAGGAAGCAGCCAGGGAGACAAGTGAGGGCAGCAATTTTGATGATACTGCTGTCTTCTACCAATACCTACTGAATGAATATAATATATATAATAATATAATAATAATAATATATTAATTTGGTAGAGTAATAATGACAGAAATATCCCATCATTTTCAAACTATTTTCTGATCTGTGGCTTCATTGCATTTCATTCTATTCTTGAAGTATAGGATTGCCAGACACTCATGCATACCAGTGAGATGCAGACTGTTTGGTCTCATGACTGAAGCAGTGGAAAGTGATCCTAACCTAACTGTAAACTCTCAGCCCAGGGAACCCAAAAGGGTCAGCCCAAGAAAGTTCCAGTGTTCTCTCTTACTTCTCCCCTCTCTCATTTCATTTCTTTGAATCAAGAAACTACTAGATCACTGCCAGACGTTTAGGAACTTCCTGAACCTCGTAGGATCATAGCAAGATATTTAGGCACATGGTCTCACTCCATTACAGCTTTCCTGCTTGTGCCCATTTTATGACAAAGAAATTATAGTGTGATTTTCCCCAAGACGTGTTGGTATTTCCAACTCTAAAATCTGTAAATCCACTTAAGCCCCAAATCAGGAAAGTTGACAAATAATCCAACAAGAGGAAATCATTCCTAAACTGTTTCTCTGTAGACTATCAGCGTTAACCCCTGGATTGGACTAGAAAGAGGACTAAGATTCAATGGCTCCCTGAAGCCAAGTTCCCACTCTGGCAAGTTGATCTGAGAGTGTGTTCTGTGTCTTTATGCAGGGTGCTCCAAAGTTACTTGCATCAGCTTGACCCGGGAGGCCTCCATTAAACTGTCCCCCTTGCATGGCAAACAGATTTCTATCCGATACCTTGATATGACGGACTGCTTCGTGCTGGAGGACGAAGGCTTGCACACCATCGCAGCTCACTGCACGCAGCTCACACACCTCTATCTGCGCCGCTGTGTCCGCCTCACCGATGAGGGTCTCCGCTACCTGGTGATCTACTGCACATCCATCAAGGAGCTCAGTGTCAGTGACTGCCGCTTTGTCAGCGACTTTGGCCTGCGGGAGATTGCTAAACTGGAGTCCCGCTTGCGGTACCTCAGCATTGCCCACTGCGGCCGCATCACGGATGTGGGCATTCGTTATGTGGCTAAGTACTGCAGCAAATTACGCTACCTCAATGCGAGGGGCTGCGAGGGCATCACGGACCATGGCGTGGAGTACCTTGCCAAGAACTGCACAAAACTTAAGTCCCTGGACATTGGCAAGTGTCCTTTGGTCTCTGACACAGGCCTGGAATCCCTGGCTTTGAACTGTTTCAATCTCAAGAGATTAAGCCTCAAATCCTGTGAGAGCATCACCGGCCAGGGCCTGCAGATCGTGGCTGCCAATTGCTTTGACCTGCAGATGCTGAACGTCCAGGACTGTGAAGTTTCCGTGGAGGCCCTGCGGTTTGTGAAGCGCCACTGCAAGCGCTGTGTCATTGAGCATACCAACCCTGCTTTCTTCTGAAGGGACAGCTCCCGTCGGGCATGTTTTCACAGCATCATGAACCAAACAATGTTTTGTAAACGTGACCCATGTAAGCACCCACACCCACTCATAGCCCCTATTTCTTCTGGGAAAATTCTTTGGAGTCTGACTTTTAGTTTTATTTCTCATGAGCAAACAAGGTCAAAGAAATGAAGGAGGAAAACCAAATTTCTACCACGGTAAACTAGCTCTGTTCGGTTCATTTGTAGACATACACTCTCACCAAGGGTACACCTCAGCAGGCTGGTCACTGTGTCTTCAGAAATGCACCTTACATCTTCCCTTTCCCTGCTGGTCCACAAACCATGCCCCAAAGTTCCACACCTTAATGGTGCAACAGCTGCACCAGTAAGCGTCAGAATAAGGCCCTCTAAAGCTGTTGTTAAACTGTTTGGTGGACAGAAGCCCCACTCCTAAATCCCACAGCAAGCAAATAGGAGTTAAAGTCATGTTAACACTTTATGTGTGCAGAGAGCTTCCCCATGCTAAAGAATTATGGAAAATCAGACAGAATAAAAAGAGACACGTTTTTTATCCCAGCTCTGCCACTAACTAGCTATGTGATCTTGATCAGAACACCTTACCTATCTGGGCTGCAGATTCCCACCCCCCAGAAGCTAGAGGTAGGGATGAGCCTCATGCCCGTTCTAGAACTGAGAGAATAGTGACGTCCATAAGCGGAGCCTTGTATAAAGCACACAGGCAGCACCTGTGAGAGAAGTGGTTTGTGAGTGAGCTGTGCTTTTGGGAGGTTCTGTGGGGTCACCGTCGGTGCACATATAGTTCTGGAGGATGTCCTTTTGCTGTCCTCTAAGAACCAACACAACTCTGTGCGGGGGAAGGGGGCTAGCTTGTGCACATGTACATGTGCTGTAGCATTCTCTCCATCCACCGCATCCCGCTCAGGCAGGAGAGTGCACCTGACACGAGGCCTATAATCTCCCTGTCAGCTTGCATCTGCTGAGCATTTTCAAGTCCAAGTAGAGACCCTGATAATTTTTAATTAACAAGTGAAGTCCAAGAGAACCCACATTCTCAAAGGTTTTTCTAACCCTTCTCAGTACACATATGCTATGATTCAGGCGCATCTGTCCTGCAGCCGGTGGGGACAGATGCCTTAGTCCTCTGTCATTCACATTTCATTTTGACTTCTCTCATCTATTTATTTCTCCATCGCATGAAGCCTACCGGGGTTAAGTTTATAAGTGTCCAATTATACAGACGCCACCTTGCCTGCTGTCTGCCTGCTTTCCACTAAAGAATGTACAATAGACTTCCAGGTGTTTCAGTATTGCTCACTCAGAAGTGCCAGTCACACAGAAGAGGGAACACACTGGTAAGACAGATGTTGGTCCACCCACCACGGTACTGGGACAGAACATTAAAATCATTTCAAAATTTGAATTTTAAGTTGATGGACTTTTAAATGGTCCCTTCTGAATACAAAGCAATTTACTAGTTTCATTTTTAAAGAATCAGATAGCCAGATGAGATCCTGCTACTAGTTTTCGTGAATTCCAGTTGTCTTTTGTTACTAAACTTAGAACTTTCCCCCATTTTTTTCTCTGGCCACATTCCTTCCCCACCACTGTTGAAACAGTTCGGCCACCATCTTCTCAGAGTATCTATCCTCCAATCCCAGAGCCTCTGCTTCTCCAAGGCAAGCTCGCTACATTTGTTACAGAGCAAGCTTATACTCCGCTCGACAACTGCACTCCCACTGTAGGCTCCGGTGTGTACTATTGTCTTGTGTTGGGAAGGAGCTGTTAAGTGACAAAGCTGACAACTCTTCAGGAGGTTACTGTCATTCATTCTGTGAATCCCAGCTTCTGCTCAGTTCACACCCTCCTCGGTATGGACAGGTGAACAAGATTCTATCATAAGGGAAAGTAAAAGTTTTCGCTGGGGACAGGATCTAGTGACAGCCACTGAGTTTAGAACCGTAAAAGAAATTGAACGTAGGTAGCACCCATCTGACCTCTGACTTGTGGCTCTGCCAAAGTTTGTGGACTGGAGCATCACAATGGGTTGTCTGTAACCCTCGATACTGGAACATTCCAAAAGAGTTGGTTTACTGCTCCCCAGAATGAGCAAGGGAATCCAAAGTGGTTCCCTAAGCCATTTTTAGTAACTCTATCGCCACTAACTTTCATGTGAGACCCAGTGGGCATTTCACACTTGCTAGCTGCCCAGCACATGGGTCCTTCCCAGTTTCTCCCTTTCCCATCCTCTTCACCCTTTCTGCTCTCCATCAGGATAGGGGTATGGACATGTAACAGAGGTCACTGGGAACACAATTCAGTAGATTTATGAGGTCAAGCAAAAGGTCTCATTAAGAAATGTATCTGTTTTAAAACATGGCTTCCTTCCTTGCTCTGCTAAATTGAATGCTCATTTGTTGTTGTTTGTTTGTTTGTTTGTTTCTCTTTAACTCTAATGTTCAAATCACTGCGTGCTGTATAATTCTAGAAAGCCTTAATTTACTTCCACCAAGAAATAAAGCAATATGTTGGCAATCAGACTCAGTTCCATTTTTAATAATCTTATCCGAGATGGGTGCTGTTTGGATATGGACACTGGAAAGCAAGCAATAAATAAATAAACAAATAAATAAATAAATCCTTCCTGCTGAAGTCAGAACAAGCAGCTCACTGTTGTTATTGTCCCTTTAAAGTTACACTCAATGTTCTGTTGTCCCCTTAGACCTTAGGACTTTGGATTTAAATTGGCAGGTAAATGAATAAAACATTACAAGATGATCCAGGACTCGGTTCCTTGTCCAAACTCTTCCCACAAGATTGTTGAATTCATAACTTTGCACTTTAAAAGAAATTATATTTGATGGATTTTATAATACCACAGAGAATCTGGGACAGTATCCTTAATTAAATATATTAGCATTCTGTACCAGTGAATATGGTGCAATGCAATTAATATTATTAAACATGATAGATATCCTTATATTAATCCAGGTCAGGTGTTAACATGTCAATTTCTATGGTAAATGATTAAAATATTTCATTTTTTAGAAATGCATGGATCTTAGAATTATGGATGAATAATCATGGATTTGAATACACTCTGACTCTAATTACAAATGGACGAGAAGATCCTCAATGTTTTGCCATTCATTAGTGTCTCAGAGTATTAAAATATGGGAGAAGTTATGCCAACCTGATGGAGAAGAAAATAATATCAGTCAATTAGAAGAAGTGAAATGTCAAATTGTTCCCTCTTTACCTGAACCTTTAGAATTAAATTAATATGAAGAAAGGAAGCAATTGGAGAGATTCACCCTTAGCATCTAGAGAGACTTTAGAGGACAGCATCTTATCAGTTGTAAATGTATTTGTCCTCAAAAAATGTTTCAAACTGTATTGCTGTGACAGCTGTCACTTAACCCAACAGAACTGTTTTGGAGCATGAATTTCAGGTAACTCACGCCTTGTCAAGATCTGAGAGTAAGGCTACTTACTAGTGGGTAAACCCCATTCCCTTTGAGACTCATTGACTTCTTAGAGTTTCATCATTTGTTCACAATTAGACAATGCCTTCCAGATACTTGACTTTCAAGAGAATTCAATTTCAACTTAAAAGATTGAGGAACTTAAGAGAAAAAGTAGGACAATGGCACTGCTTACCATGTCAACATTATCAAAGAGAAGCTACCAAATGTCTCAATACCTAGCCATCATGATCACTCCAGATAATTTTTGTAAAGTGAAATAAATATAAGATGGAGAAGAAATACTGAAAGGTTAGGTATATATTGCAAAAATACACTAAAAATCTACAGTATTTTCCATTTGGATGCTATTAATCCATTGAATTTGGGGTTGGATATATATTTAGGAAATTGTTCTTCCATGGGGAGAAATAGCATTAACAGTGAGCATGCATCACTTGTTTACAGTATATGCTGGTGTTATCACTAAGTCTTGCCTGAATATAGCTCAACCTTCCTGAAGAGCAACTTGGGCTTATTTCACTAAGATAACCACCAGAATAACCTGGGTACATGCACTCCCCTTTTCACTTCCAGCACAAAATCATTTCTTAGGCCACAAGTTCATCTCATGAACTGTTTCCCATTCCCAGTTAGCAGATTAGGTTGCAGTCTAACAAATAACACCTTGTCTCAGATGTTATACAGGATAGAGACCCGCCTTTCCACAAAGCAGATGTGCAGTCTGCCTCAAAAGCTCAGCAGATATCCATGTCTCAGAGGCCAATCTTATTGACTATTCAAAAAACCCACCTTTCTGCTTTGAATGTGCAAGGACTTAGTGGTGCAAGCCATCCAGGTGTGTGAGGACAGCTGTGCAGGATTATGTTGTCTAACCAGTAACATTCTGTGTTGTGAAATGTTTGTCTTTGCATTTGCTCACCTCCTGACTTTACGCTGAGAAACTGGTACATCTAAATTTTATCCTAGATTACATGGTAATTAGTACATTAGTAAACACTGGATATTTCCATCATCCTCTCTAATGAATTAAAAAGTGATCATGATAAAAAGTATCAAGTAACCGTTTATTGATCATATACAATATGCCAGACACTATTACAAACAGTGGATGAATGAGTTCAACACAGAAGGGAATAGCTAGTCCTATAGGCCAGGTCAAAAGAATCTGTAGCTGAGAAAGGGAGGAGGGAATCACAGACTCTAAGGGAAAGCATACTACTGTAGTCAACTGCCTACTATACATGCATGTTGATATATCAACATACACCAACATGACTCAGCTGGGGTCAGGAAAAACTTTCTGAAGAGGATAATTGTTAATGCAGAGACAAATTATGAGAGTACTAAGAATAAGTGACTATTAGCTGTTCAGCTCCAAATAAAATGCATTAGCCTCTCTAACACTCAGGGACCAGCACATCAAAGGATACAGAAAGATGTTAAGATCAAGCATATGGAGAGGAATAGGAAACACTGTTTCCTGGATATGGCATGGCCATTGCAATCATGAACACACAGCAGCTGTGACTACCTATAGAAGACCTGTGTGTGGGCACGCATACACACACACACACACACACACACACACACCACTTTAATATGTCAGAGATAAATTGATGCTATCAAATATTATTCCTCTGAGTCTTCTCCACAAATGCTTTTTTGAACATTCAGTAGTATACCATTCTATTACTTCTCAATGCCAGCCTTGTCAGAATGGGAAATCAGTCTCAAGGGTCTACTTCTCTAAGAGGTCCCTAATAATCTGTTGTCTCTAATAACAGTATTCTGATAAATTCTACCAGGTCAGACTCTCAATGGCAGAACATAAGCATCTCTCAATAAACATTTGTTGGATTAATGAATAAATATTTTCATGCTTTTGCATTTAACTCTCTGACCCCAATATTTTATGTTTTTTGTCAGTTACTTCCATGCACATGATACATTGTGAAGTTTATACCTCCTTAAACTCCTTTCCCATTGTGTACCTTCTTACCCCTGTGTGTGTGTGTGTTGGTAGATAGCAGCATTATGAGGAAAAAAAGGCCCTGAAACATAATTTCTTGGAGAAGCCAGGATACCAAAAGATTGTATGCCCCTTCAAACAGCATATGCAATAATGGTACAAGCATGGGTGGCCCATACGCCTGCCCATAAACCTGCAATCAGGATTTCCAAAAAGCTAGCTGTTCCCTCTCTCACTTTTTCTTGAAGTATCAGCAACACAGTTCTCTGTTGGTATTACTCCAGATGCAAATACCTGTGATGAGGGTGACCCAAATAATTGAGGTTTCTCAGTTCAGTTTACTATATCCCTTCACTGGGAAATGAACTATGTCAGTAAGCTTAAAAAATAGTGGGTGGCCTAAGAAAGGCTGATAAACAGCCTTTAAACATTGCCTATAATGTCACTAAGGAGGACTTCTTGGAAATCGCACATGTCATTAGGATGGCAAATGTGGATTTATTTGTACAGTCATAATGAACTAAACAGCACAAGCTGCTGCAAGTGCAAAGGGAACAAAAAGGCTTTTGAATCCTGTCTCTAGGCAGAATGATGGTTGTCATGGTTTCACAGAGCTCTGAGTGTCTCCCAGGCCCTGATTCATACCATTCCTAGATAGTCATGCGTTACGCAGATTAACCAGTAATTGATAACTTCATTTACTTCCAGCATCCTTTCAAACACTAAAGTACACACAGACACACTCTATCAATAACATGAAAAGTGAAAAAGTAGAAAAGTGTTAGATTTCACAGCATGTGTTTTACATGGTATTTACATTTATGATTTAAACAAAGTTACCAGGACCCTTTTTATTTATGAGAAAGTAGATAAAGGGCTATAACAGACGGACAAACAGCCTCCTCCACTATTATCTGAGAGCCTGTGGTGGGTTCTGTTTCTTTTTTGTTTTGCTTTAAGATATGAAGGACAAAGCCGATACAACTACTATTTACAATTTTGTATTTATCACTCTGAAAGTAACTAACAATGTTCTTAATTTGAACTGTACCGTTTGTTGGTTTCCAAGTATACACTGAGATAGTCAAGATACATATTCTATTCCACTTGGTAAAGTGGTGGAAGAGACCGTTTGGCTCAACAAATACTTACCGTAGAACAGAGTGAGAGAGTCTCAACATCTCCTCCTATAGTCTTTGCAGGCATTTGGTTAAACATGTGACTTTTGATGGATCCATATGAATGGCAGCTGTTCGGCACAATTTTTCCATGAGCTCGTTGGGTCACTGGGACTCCAGTTGGCTCTCCTCTGTGTTTATAATTTTAGAACGACCAAAGAATAATGAATGACCACAGACATGCTGCAGACCCAGAGATCAAGAGGCTGTGGATTTAGAAAAATGAAGAGATACTCAAATAATAACCTCTCACTCATATAATTAAAACCAGTCTCCTTCCAGATTTCCAAGCTTGCAGAGTTTTGCTAGTACCATTGCCCTGAGCCTCCTATGCACATGTGTGTCACATTTCTCTTTGAAGCAGCACACACAGGAAAGCAAACATGGATGTGGGAGAGCATTGGTCCCTTCCTTTTAAACATTTATACAAGTTTTTAGATGACTTTACAGGTGATCATGGTATATCATGGCTGTGCCTTTGTAGGCACTAAGAAGTTCTGGTTCTTTAACTTCACTCAGACTTACTGTGTAGACCGTCTGATCTCTGATGGAAAAGTCTTCACAGCCACTGGCTTGTTCTGAGAAAGGAGAAAATTGACCTTTCCTAACAAATGTTCTGAATGGTACAAAAATACCCTATCAGCAGTTTCAAATCTTCCTCTCCACATGGCATGGACTGAAGCCTACGTTAAAACCTGCTTCCCTTTCAGAGTCTCAAGACAGGCTTTCAAAAGTAGTAGAGTCTCAAACAAGGCTTTAAAAGTAGGGCTAAGGGCTGGACATTGGTGGCACATGCCTTTAATCCCAGCACTTGGGAGGCAGAGGCAGGTGGATATCTGTGAGTTCAAGACCAGCCTGGTCTACAGAGCGAGTTCCAGGACAGCCTTCAAAACAATACAG